TATATGAGGACTACAGCAACAAGTCTACCAAATAGCAAATTAAATAAAGGCTTCTTCCCAGAGACTTACAAAAGCAGATTAACATTGTATTTAACTACAGGAAAACATGAGGGCAAATTATGTAGTTACTTTCTAGATCAGTGAAATAAGAAAGAGCATCAAAACATTACAACTGAGACTCTCAGTTGGATATTAAACTTGTTCCCTGAGTGAGGGTCAGGGTAGGGGAGGGAGAGTGAAGATACAAAGCTCTCTGGTTTTTAAATAAACCTTGAAGAAAAGTGGGAAGAACAAACAAGCATGCTGAGTAAATTTTGTTTCACTTGAAAAGGGTTTACTTATATAACCACCATTTTTAGAAAATTTACCCACCAAAAAGAATGAACCAAAAATTCATAAGTACCAAAAGAGGTAATGCTGTCTCATCAAGAAAATCCAATGTTCACAGTATATCCAAATACACAGCAAGCTATATTATTTGGCTACTTTTCATATCCAAAGTCAGACAGTGATTCTTTTTATAACCATTACTTAATTAACCAAAAATATCAGTCTAAGAAAACAGATTTCATGGTAAGAACCATCTTATCAATGTGTCCTTTCACAAAGACTTCTGACTGAATATGCTTGGGGGGGCGGAATCTGTAACATTAGAAAAATATCGGAATACAAAAGCTATGCCCCACCGCCCGTTCTAATCCAACCAAACAATACCCAGGTGCTAGAAAGTCAATGTTAGCGTTAAACTCTAATTTTCATATCTGACTTGTAGTTCAAGTTACAGAAATGGAACCAAAGAAAAATACAAGTGCAGTTCCCACCACACACGCTTGAGGGCTAAACTGGGTTTTGTTTGTTTACTCACAACTAACTTTAAATTAAACCAACTAACATGGTTTAATTTAAAATTGCTAGGTTTCAAGTGTGTATGGAAAGAAAAGGAAACATAATGCCTTACAAGGTTGTGATGGTTAAATGAGTATACATGTAAACACACCAACACTGAGCCTGCAAATGGTAAGCATTCCCCCCAAAAAAAAAGCCCTTCTTTCTCAGGACCACTGTTGCTACTAGGGGTCTTTGTGGTTCCATACAAATTTCTGAAACAGCTGTTCTAGTTCTATGAAATACTCCACTGGTATCTTAAAAGAAACTGCACTGAATCTGCAGATTGCTTTGGGTAGTATGGACATTTTAACGATGTTAATTCTTCCTGTCCATGACCACAATACAAACCCACTTACTTGTATCTTCCTCAGTTTATTTCTTCAGTGTCATAATTTTCCACACACAGGTCTTTTACCTCCTTGGTTAAATTATTCCTCGGTATTTTATTCTTTTTGAAGCAGTTGTGAATGGGACTGTTTTTTCAGTTTCCCTTTCTATAGTTCATTATTGGTGTATAAAAATGCAACTGACACCCGGCAGGCATGGCTCAGCGGTTGAGCACCAACTCGAGGTTTGAATCCCAGTCAGGGCACATACCCAGGCTGCAGGCTCGATCCCCAGTCGGGGGCATGCAGGAGGCAGCCATCAATGACTCTCTCATCACTGATGTTTCTATCTCTCTCTCTCCCCCTCCTTCTCTCTGAAATCAATACAGACGTATTTTTTTTAAAAAAAGCAACTGAGTCCTGGCTGGTGTGGGCCAGTGGTTAGAGTGCACAGAAGGGTCGCAGGTTTGATTCCTAGTCAAGGGCACCTACCTGGGTTGTGGGTTTGCTCCCAGCCCCCTCCCAGGGGAATGCCGGAGGCACCCATGCAATGTGTATCTCTCAAGACACATCAATGTTTCTCTCTCACTCTCCGCCTCCCTCCCTTACACTCTCTCTGAAAAGCAATGGATAAAACATCCTCAGGTGAGGATTAACAATAACAACAAAAAGGCAACTGCAGTTGGTCGAGCATCATCCATGCACCAAGAAGTCGCCAGTTCCATTCCCAGTCAGGGCATATGCCCAGGCTCAATCCCCAGTAGGGCCCATGCAGGAGGCAGTCAATTGATGCTTCTCTCTCCTCAATGTTTCTCTCTCTCTCTCACCCTCTCCCTTCCTTTATCTCTAAAGTCAATAAAAACATTTTTTAAAATGCAACTGATTTCTGGATACTTCTTTTGTATCCTGCTACTTTACTGAATTTCTTTATCAGTTCTAGTAGTTTTTTGGTGGAATCTTTATGATTTTCTATATACGGTATCATGTCATCTGCAAATAATGACAGTTTTACTCCTTCCTTTCCAATGTAGATGCCCTTTATTTCCTCTTCTTGGCTGATTTCTGTGGCTAGAACTTCCAGTGCTATGTTGAATTAGAGTGGTGAAAGCAGAAATCCATGTCTGTTCCTGATCTTAAAGGAAACACTTTTAGTTTTTGCCCATTGAGTATGATAAGGGGTTAATATCCAAAATTTATAAAGAACATATAAAACTCAATACCAAAAAAACAAATAATCCAATTTAAAAATGGGCAAAAGACCTGAATAGACACTTCTCCTAAGGGGACATATGGATAGCCAATAGACATATGAAAGGATGCTCAACATCACTAATCATCAGAGAAATGTAAATTAAAACCACAGTGAGACATCACCTCAAACCTGTCAGAATGTCTATCATCAATAAGTCAACAAACAAGTGTTGGCGAGGATGTGGAAAAAAGGGAGCCCTCATGCAGTATTGGTGGGAATGCAGACTGGTGCAGCCACTGTGTAAAGCAGTATGGAGTTACCTCAAAAAGTTAAAAATGGAACTGCCTTTACCACCTAGTGATTCATCTTCTAGGAATTTATCCGAACAAACCTGAAACACTAATTTGAAAGAATATATGTACCCCTATGTTCATTGCAGCATTATTTACAATAGCCAAGATTTGGAAGCAGCCCAAGTGTCAATCAGTAGATGAGTGGATAAAAAAAGCTGTTACATTTACACAATGGAATAGTACTCTGCCATAAAATGGAAGAAAATTTTATCCTTTGTGATAGCATGGATGGACCTGGAGAGCATATGCTAAGTAACATAAACCAGTCAGAGAGAGGCAGGTACCACATGGTTTCACTCATATGTGCAATCTAAGGAACAAACTGAACAACAAGCAAAACAGAGACAGACTCATAGAGAGCAGGCAGACAGCTATGGGGCAGGGGGTGGGCTTGGGGGGCTT